AGAACCACTGGGACATTATTCTGTCCTAAACATTATCCTAAGACTGCTTCATATTTTTGGAGAACATTGCTGTTTTAGTGAGTCTGTTTGCTGTGGGTCGCGGGCGACTTTCTTTTTTTTCTCTCTATCTCTATTGGGCGGGGAGCTCACCCCGTGTACCTGTTAGCATGTAATGGCAGCGGCCAAAATACCTCAGAAACTTGCCCAGAAAAGCAAATTCTGATTCCGTCTGCATTTCCTCAGCAACTTAAAAACGTAAGTGGAGCAGGAGAAGTTGAATTCTGATTGGCTGTTGTCACGCAAATTTCTGCCATGTTTGATCAAGTAAAGAGGCTCACAGCTGATCACTGCAATCGACCTTAAACTTTTCTAGATTAACAATCACCATCAGATAATCGCCCAGCCCTAATTAAAGTTTTATTATGTAACAAACGATAAAAAATTGGAAGTCTGAATAAAATAGCAGAAAACAGTTGATCCTCTTCAAAAAACGTTATTCCAAATCTCCGACTCCTTTAACAGCTAACAGCAGCAAAAGGCCTTGGTTCTTATCAGGACAAAAACAACAATCCCTCTCCAGCAGCTCAGTGAATAGACTGCACAATGAATGTTGATGAATCAACCTCCTAACAAATACATCAAACTTCCTGGTCACACCCCTGGAGGCAGTACCTTTTACATCAGACATTAAAAAGTAACCAACATTGTTTATATCACAGAGAGGGCTCATATTGATAAGACACACTGACTCTGTTCCTCTGTTTAAACCAAATAGCTGCACAAAGTGTAAAATACAAAACTGGATCTAAAATTCCATTAATCAGTCACAATATTTCCCTCAATTACCCATCTTTGCTCTGATTATTAAAGTTCTATTTACATATTCAAACCTACAGTAAAGAAGCAGGCATAATGTACATTTATTCAACTCTCCTCATGTATCTGCAGAGACTTATGTCAGTCTTCTTTTGAGCCCAAATGAAGAAATGAAGTTACTGGCAGTAATAATCCATTTTACTTATAGAAATTACAGCTGCTTCAATTTGGAAATGAATATACAGCTAAGCTTTGGTTTCCAGCCATCTGTCTCTATTGTGTGTGAGACACCATTCATCACGAGGGTAAAAGTAGAATCTTTTTACATTTTCATTACATCATACAGGAAGTTTTCAGTTTCTTTAAAGTGTTTTGTAATTGGTTCTGTTTTAAACTAATTTTTAAATAGACTCATTCATGTTTTTCTCCTCTCATTTGTCTCACCAGTTTTCCAACAGGAGTTATGTTCATTTATATTAAAAAGTAGGTACAACATTTATTATGATAGTCCCAACTGAGTACTGGCAGAGCACAGTGTACTTTTTTCTCCTCTAAGTACATCTACAGTATAACTACACTCAGTTCTGATCACATCGTTTAAAAAAACTCCACAAATGTGTTTATAGATTTCACAGTTGATGGTTTGTCAGAGTGGATACCAGTGTGTGTGTGTGTGTGTGTGTGTGTGTGTGTGTATGTGCGCGCAAAGTTTCAAAGTTCAAATCTAGAGAATGTTATGTGAAAATATTTGCAGCATTTTAACGGGCTAAAAGCACATTTCCAGGTCACATTTACTTGAAAATAGTGCGAGTGAAATGGGAGTCGTTACACAGGCCGTGCAAACTGTGGCTTGCACTTTCTTTAATATGCAGACTCGTGTAGGAGGTGATATTGTATCATTTATCACTTGCCATAATGTTCCTACTGTACTTTAAAGTTTAGCATTAACATTTGCCTCCTTCCATGCCGCCTTCCCCCGCATTACAAGCRTTATCGATCAGTTTTAGGATCACATTGCTTCTCCACTGTGCTCTAAATGATGCGATCCACGTTCCACACCAACATTCAAGGCCTTGATACTAAGCTCGTCATATTGTGCATCACGGCGATGCTCCCTGAAAGTGAGACTGTTTGGTGTGTGAGGTTCCAATGTAAAGCGAATGACAGCAGTAAATGCATGCTTTATTATTCTGTATGTTCATGCATGTGTTAAATGTGAGGTTGGAACTGCAGTAAATGAAGCAAAGACTTGCTGCATCTGTGATCATGTAGAAGYGGTGTCGTACATCACACTGTGGTCGTCTGAACCTTCAGCGTCTTTTCGCACGAATCACAACTGCAATGATAATTTACTGTTGTGAGATGCTGCGCAGGTTCTCTCAGTGACCCGTCACATACACGCATGGGAATAAATTGGATTCTGTGCATGCATGTTGAGATAAACACAAGGACATTACAACATGAATATATTTACTCAGACTCACATTCTGCAGCTCCTGCAGCTCTGTCTTTGCTTCAAGGSTAAGTGAAAACTGAATGGTTGGATTCTTTAGTTTTTTTTAAAGAATAACCCTCAACACAAAACACTAAACAAAATCTTCTACTTGAATTCCTTTTTAGTAACATCTGAGATAAATTAAACGGCCACTTTCATCCTCTCTGATGTGGTCTTCATGAGGTTTYCTTTTTTTCTGTTTTTGTTCTTTTGTGCCTTTGATTTAGCTGTGATAATCTGGTTGATTTAGATTTTTTTCTGCAGGTGTACTTAAAATGAATAAAGGTTTAATAAATTAAACTATACCAAACACGAATCTCACTCCCAGCATTGATACGAGGCATTAAAACGCAACTGGAAACACGGAATATTTTGTTCTCTGGAAGGTTTGCCCCATCCTCCTCTTCATACATTAAAGGCGTGATTTGGAATTAAAGAGGAGATGTGATGCAATTCATTAACTTCCTTAACTTAACATCTGTAGCTTTCAATTTTAAAAGAAGCGCTCACTGGCTTGACCAGTCAATTCAATTCTGTGTATTTATACAGCGCTAAATCACAACAATTGTTGTCTCAGTTCACAATCAAAATCAAAAATCAAAAATTCAAGAAAATGGCATGCTCTTGTTGCAAAGCTTGAAACAGCTGCAGCTCAAGAACAATATTTAAAATCTAAAACACAGAGAGCCAGACAGACGTGTCTAACCTGAGGGAACACGGGATGATTTACTGTTTACTGTGCCACTGGCTGCCTCTGAGAAACATCCTTACACCTCGCCCTGCTGGCAGACAGTGACAGGCTGCAGGCTGTTTGCAGGGGAGATAGAGGTTAGATATGTTTAACTTTGTGATATCTAAAATATTATAATAAATCACGCTGAAATGATAACAACTTAATCTCTAATATTAATGCATTAAAACACAGCAAATTCAGATTTATGCTATGGTTTTGTTTGATACAAGTTTATATTTAATAAAATATAAATAATAAACCAGTATTGAAACATCTCAACTCAATTCCAGGAAAACTTCTATTCCAAGACCTCAGCTGATTCTGATCTCCATTTTCAACTTATCTGCTCTACTTTTAAGCAGCTTTCTGAAGAAAAAGACCTGCTTGCAGCAGCGTTATCTAATAATAAGATTGTATTGGTGCAAAGATGTAAACATTTAGAAATCTCAAACGTGCATCTATTTCACAGATGCTCTACCAATCCAGTCACATCGTGAAAAACCATAAATCAATACAAATCAGTTCATCCATATATCCTTTCACACCAAAGTGCAGCATGGTTACATCAAAAGCAGATGTTTTCACTTCACTGTGAGGTTTACATTTCATTGAATGGCTTATTAAAAGAAAAGAACAGATGGTGGCAGAGAATTTCCACCAGAATTTCACATCAATGCAGCATCTATTATTGTCCTTCATGATGAATGTTGTATACTTCAGAGCTTTTACAATAAACAATAAATAAAAAAATAACTAAATAAATACACTAAAGATTATTAAAGATATGATCCATGCTCTTGTTGAAATATTAACATTTTGAGTACAAAAATTGTTTTGCATCTTTTTGGCCAACATATTAAATACTGACAACCTAAAAGGACAAACATGTACAAGACAACACAGCTATTTATGCCAAGTCAGAATTTGACCAACTCTTCCATCATCTTCAAGTGGCTCTTGATGCTTTTGTTCTTGCATTTTTCGTGAATCAACTACCTTCCCCTCAGATCAGAGATGTGTGTGTATGTGGGGGGGGGGGGGGGTGGGGGGTGTCTTTGGCTGAGAGATTCTGTGGGTGGGCGGCAGCGGCTGACTACAAATGGAAGCACACATAATGCTCAAGTTTAATTTTTCACAGACAAAATGAGCACATCCCTGCCACACTCCCTCAAGAACATAGAGAATGTTTGCATAAACACGCAGACAATAACGTGCAGCCGCTCCTGCAAAGCAACACTTATAGAGACAGAGGAGGCGTGAAGCCATTCACATGATTCCAGTGCTGCAGGAGACTGCACACATAAACAGCATGAAAAAGATTTATAGCTGATCTTCAAGCTAAAACACATTTTACAAGTATGTTAATAAAGGCAAAAGTACAAACACAGACCAAGCATTTGCATTTGTTGCAAAATAATTCAAAAGTCCAGTGAGCAGAGCACAGGCATGGTGTTAATTAGGGATTCGATTCCAAGTAAGCTAATGTGAAGGTGAATGTTTGCTGATTAGCACCCAACGACACAATGACTGCCTGTCTTTTAAAAAAATATAAAAACAGCTCAACCACCAAATAAATATTTCACCAAAATTTGATCCAAACCTTTTGAGAAATTTCAAATCATCCTCCAAGGGTAACCACAGAATCTCATCTAGAAACACTTCTACATAATCAAAATAGAAAAGTTTCTATTTTATGCATCAGACAAGTCCTGAATAAATGTTCAAACATACATTGAGACAACTTGAATGTATAATATTGACAATAACAACTCACATTATTCTCATAACAGGATACTTCAATACAAGCATGGAATGATTTTCTTAAACATTTTCACATTTATTAAAACCTGAACATGATTCTGGACAGAYGTGCAGCAAGAGAACTATTCTCCATCAACAGCATCTTTAATAAAGTCTATTATCCCCTACTTTATTTGTACAAAAACACAAGCTTACCCTGTGATTCGTGGCAGAGTGTCGGTAGAAAAGAGGGCGAAGGGTGGCTTGTCTCGCTCTATGAGCCAAATGGTGTATTGTCCGCTTTGCCTGGGGTGGAGAAACACAGCCATATCCAAGCCGCAAAGACCTTGAGCCCCCCACAGCCACGGACTCAAGACCCAGGGTCCTCCAAAGGCTGAGCTGTTGACCCAGAAGAACTGACCTGAGAGGGAAGAAAAACAAAGAGTAAAATGTACTAGTTTGATAAAGYGTGTTAGATTAGTGTTGCTAAAAGCAGATCTGCATTTGTGAGAAAGCTGACTCATGATTAAAAGACTGAATTTCACAGAAACTGTAGGCTGTAAAGAACTGAGATAAGAGATATGGTGCGAGATAAGTTTTAGGGCACTTGCTCAAAGTGATTCTTGATAAAAATGTATGAAATAAAGTTGCTTTGAAAATGAGCAGCCAGTGACACCCTGCACTCCAAATAAAAAGTGTTGCTGGTGAAAAATCAAAGCAGATTTTCTTTATAGCTTTGATACAAACTCCATTTTACTTTCAGACCTATTGTGCTCATTCATGCAGTAAGCTGATCAGAAACAGAAAGAGGTGCATATATGGAAGCACAAAGAGTTTGAGCTGAAAAATCWAATTTTAATATGCTCAGTGAAGAAAGTCTTTTTAATGAGAGGACTTTGAAAACATGCAAAGTGGAACTCTTCAGTGTAGTTTTGCATAGTTCTCATGAGATGTTCAAGGTCAGGTTGTTTCAGTTGGTGCCGTTTATGTTTGTCAGTGCAGGAGGTCACGAGGCTCTCTCAGCCCCGCAGACACAGTCGTAAAAATAAAACGGAACTTTTCTCTTCAGCAGAGGGTTGATGTATTTCTTCTCTTTCCGTTTTTATATTGCCTCCACTCCTGGGCTGTGYGACTACATTTTCAGTTTCTAGTAACGGAAATACAAGCTTCATTTCAAACTGCATTACAGCATACATCTCTAACYGGGACACTCTCTGCAATAAAACAGACTTCTGCCATTACTTCATTGCAACTTGCATGCCAGTACTTAGAAAACAAAGAATATATAAAGAAATAAGCTGTAATAAGTCATGTGTAGCAGAGCTACATTATTTTTGAGTTAAGAGTACAGYACATTTACTATTCGTAGTACATGCAGTATTTTTTTGAATGGATGTTCAATACCACTGATTTCCTTTCTGATGCTGATACAGAGTAAAACTTAGGCTGGCATCGGTAATATTGATCCGATACCGATACTTTGTGAAAAACACCTAATGTGACTGGTAAATCTAAAAATAAGTATTTCAAATCACTGCTTTATAAAGAATACAAGACAGAGTCATTCATTTGTTCATTTCAAACTCTGAAGTATATTGACATGGTGCCCTCATTTACAATATAACTATGGTAATGCAACAGAAAAAATGCAATCAGACAAAGTATGTGAAAATAGTGTTTTAAACAATAATAAAATAAAATTTAAAACCATTGAAATAAGCTTTTGTTTAATTATCAAGCACTACAATAAAAATTAACATGTTCAAATGAATATATTGAACATATAACATCTAAAAACTGAGCAACTATGACTGGGCTTATGCGTTACTCAGGCAGAAGAAAAAGTAGTTCCCTCTTAGCGCTTATGATTTAGAAAATAGTTCAATGGTTTAGTTACTTTCCATTGTGTTCCTGTTAATAATATACATTACCTGAAATGACTGAAATATCAAGTATAGATATTTAGATTTTAGTGTCAATACACAAAGTTCTTGTATCTGTGGTATCAATATTTCAGTATCAGTTTGCACATGGACCACAGAAAAGGTAAGACCGTCTGGGTCCATGCCCTACATACTTTAGGGCCTCAAGCTTTGAAAAAATAAATAAAATAAAATTTTATGAAATATCAAAGTTTAAAACCATATTCTTTCATCATATCCAATTGTCTGCCTACACAAGCTACAAAAAACAACTAATCTGTTTCTATACGGGTGTCATGTGACATAAATCACTCAGATACTGTCATTTACGAGTAGTTAGATATGCACTTATCAAATAATTAAGAAAAATGACTTATTAAAAAACTTCCAGCAAATCATTAAAAGAGGAGTGCTCAGAGTGATGATGAAATCTTTGTTGAATCATCAAAACAAAGTCTCAAATTTGCTGCAACTCAAGGGAAGCCATTCTGCTTTAATCATCTAACAAAAACAATTCTGTATTTTTCATAGATTTTGTTAAAAACGACAGAACAAAAATAAACTCTGACAGACAGAAAATTTGGATTTTGGCAACAACAAGGTGATTCCATAAAAGCCTGGGTAAAGATGTGACTTTCAGATGTTCCTTATCTGCAGAAAAAAAGCTTTTGAAGCCTGCCACCTTTTTATTTTTCAATTTTTCCCCCACTTCACACTTTTATAAGAAGCACTGCTCAATAAGTTATGGTCAGTTACAAAGAGTCAACTGAAAACAATCCCAAGTGTTTAAACAAAAAAGCAACTGGACAGTTTCTTTTATTTTGTTCAAAAAAGCTTATTCAGTTTTGAAGAAAAACGTCTTCAAGAAACAAAAAAAGTCCAGCTGCCTTCTATTTACCTACTTAGAATGATCCTGTCCTGATGACTGAGAATCCAAAAATCAATGGAGTAAAAAAGAAGCTGAACTTCAAAGAACATCTTCAGAAGTTCTTGAAAACTGTTTAAGTAGATTAAAGTCTAGCAGCTTGATGCAAAATATAAAGAAATACGAGGTGGCATTGAGTTGCAAAGTTTTAGAAGTCAGCAAACTATTTTTAGAACGAGTAAAAGGATCGTAACCCATTAGTGTATGTTCTCTCAGTGTTGCCTCCACTTTCATCCTTGGTTGATAACCAACATGCCTTTTATAAAACCCCGTAAAGAACTGAAAATCCAGTTTTTGAGGCCTTTAAATTGGAGAGCTTCAGTTAAGCCTCATTTACTCTTCCCTATTCATTTGCCCGCTTCTTTCAGAGGATCCAGGCAATTTGGCTAAGGCCATCCGAATACTTAAAAGTAGTATGCAGGCAGAGTGGGCTGAATACATTTTCAACACACCTAGTAACAATTTGATATTAACGTTTTAAGATTCAGCCAGGAAAAACTTTCAGCCTGAAGGAAAAGCTCCATTAACTCTTGTGTTTTAGTTGTAATAAAGTGAGGAAACACTTGTTTTGGAGCAATTGCTACAAACTTACCAACAAACTGCAGAGGAAATGATGTGATTTCATTAGTAGATTTTAGCTTCACCTGTGAACACTGCTGTCCAACAGAGCTTAATGTCTTCATTTACTGCATCATAGGGCCTGTTTAAACTCTTTTAGTTTGCATAATGAAAATGGATCAATGATGCTGGATTAGTTCAGTAAATAATTACTCAGTTGCATATTTATAAAAGGAACTACATAAAAGAATCATTTAAAATGAATGTCTTTGAATGATCCTCGAGTTGATTTAAACGTCTACTGGAGTGCACTCTAAATAAAATATTTAAACTACCACAAATAAATGTCATATATTAAAAAAAAAATCAAATCTCTTTCCTTTCTTTGAACTTACACCAACACCGGCATCAAATTTAGTGCATTTTTTTCTATAATTGAAGTTTCTTGGAAACAGTTTTATTGAAGCTTTGAGCGAAAAAGGTCTCAAAACAGCAGAAACACCTTATTCTTAAAGTGATCGTTTTCTGTATTAACGAATCAAACACTTTTGTGGCCTTCTCTCCGCAGTCACAGATCCAATCAATGGAGGTTCTGGTCGACAGCATACCAAAACAAGCCAAAAGTTTGCAAGGACAAAATTCCCTCAGATAATAAAAATTGCAACAAAAGAGCTGAAAGGAGGATGAGAACAAACCAATAAAATTGTATTCCCTGCCACATCATCTCATYGTGAAATGCATTAACTCAGGGCCAGCACAAGCTTTTCAGATTCCAACTATTTGTCTGCCAAACATTTTAATTTACAACTCAGTCTCACAACACGGTGACTGAGCTCACGCTACAAAATGTGTGCTTTAACTGACATAAAAACAAAACAGTTAGATAGATATATAGTGTTATTTTGTTGATTAAAAGCAGTATGCCTAAAATAACTGAATTTATTTAAAGCAGAAATTTGTAACACCAAGGAGAATTTTAAAGAACTTGAGCATTCTGTTCCCTCCTCCTGTGCTGTGCTTTAGTTCTTTCATATTTTGGGCGTATYGCTACTTGTTTCTGCTGCTGTTATATCAAAGTTATGAATCGTAGGCTGAAAAATGTGCTGTAGTTGTGTTTCTGATGGTCAGCATGAATCAAAGCCCGGTCTCCATAATGCTTAGTAGTTTGTCCATAAAGCAAAAATGAGACACAGCTCCCAGCAAAGGATTGTGCTTTCATGGCTGTTTTGCTTAAAGACAAATATGGGATACGACTGTATCTTCTYTGGCCTATAAATGTGTTGGGGTCTCTCAGGYAGAGCTGGAAAGTGTCACTGGAGAGTGAGATGGTTTTTTTCCTCGACCTGGTACTTTTGTAACCACACAACATCTGCTAAAGTCTAAACTGCTAATGTAAAATTTATGTCTTAAATGTTGTGGCTAAATGCTGAAGTTTACATTTAAGTATGCAGTCTTTGCTGTTTGTGCTCAGCTTGTTGTGACATCATCATCCTGAGACAAAAGCAACCATTAATGCTGCTAATACTGCTAGCCCTGCTAATGCATCCCTACAAGACACCAAACTTGCAGTTGTGACCGGTGTCCAGGCTGCACTTCAAACTGCTGGACCACAGGGACCATATTGTTTTTAATGAACAGATTTTGAATATAAATTTAAATGCCTTTTTCACCAGGAGTTAGCAGCATTAGCGATTGCTTTTGTCGTAACATGATGATGTCATAACAAGAGCTGAACACTAACAGCAAAAAGGCTGTGTTCCATTCCAAAATACCTAAACGTAAACATTTATATTTAGATTTACACATTTAGCTTTAATATTTGCAAATATTATGTAGCATGTACATGTCTCTAAGTCTCTAAGTTATGTCTCTAAGAAAGTGTTTTCAAAAGCAAAGTTCAGTTAGTTGTGAGACATGACCGTTGGTGGTCAAGAGGTCATGTCAGGGGTCACGGTCGTTCTTGCTACGATTATTTAACATTTAAATTGAACATTTAATATAAATTAGCAAAATGTAAGAACAGTAAGCTAAATAATAAAATATTAGTGGACAATTATTAACTACAATTTTACACTTAGAAAYTGAGCTAAATAAAGAAAATGTGTTAGTGACATTTTTAACATTTTTTTCACACTTGATGCCCCATAGGCCTAAATGCTATTTATTCAATAATTATTTGTGTTTTCTGTCAGTCATTTTATGTAACGCAGACTATAGAAACAATTAGACTAACATGAGGATGAGAAGTTCAGGCAGTGGACTGAATACACAAAGTCGTGTCGCCATGCCAAGCAAAGTAAATAAGGAAGTCAACAGGGAGACTTAGTAATGATTTAAGCATGGTTAGCAGTGATTTCAGCCTGAGGGACTGAGCGTGTGGGCTCTGAGAGCTGATTGATTAAGTGGTCTTGTTTATACTTTGAGCTATAATAGAATCTGGGCTTTTTCCAAATGAATGAACAGAGCCACGAGCCAGTCCGTGTAGCACAGTAAACATAGAGTTTTCCAACACTGGAAGCTGCCTTGTGTTCGTACAGAATTTCACTGAAGTTTGTTTTCTAAGGAGTGCCAGGTGGTTACTTCCTATGGAAATCTTAACTTGCAACAACTGTATGTTTTACAAAGAAAACCACTGCTGTCAGTTCCATAGTGCAGGGTTTCCTTTTTTTCTAAATTATGAGCATATCTTTTCAAAACAGAAGGTATGTTACTGTTTTTATAGACACTGCATCAAGAAGTTTAGTTTGTCTGCACTCATGCATTTAATATTAGTGACAGTGGGAATATCAGAAAATGTTTTAAAATGTATTTCACACTGACTATTGCAGATGTGAATGTTATATAGTCTGCAAGGTGCCTGCTTTTTTCATTCCAATGTGTGCAACAGTAACTTCTGTAAAAGAAGAAAGCAGAAGGAAACATGGCAGATCATGGTTCCCGCCTCCCACCACGGCAGAGAGACCAGGGTTGAAATCCCAGCTGCAGCCAATTTGTGCATTCTAAGCAGAGTATTTGACAGAACTCACAGGTGAGTAGCTGCGCCCCCAGTTGAAAAGAGCCCACGGTGGCAACACCAYGTGTGTACAATATGTGTTTAAAGACCACGGTACGCTCGTCTGTGACTGTGAGCCGCAGAAAACAAATGGTGAACTCCTCTCAAACATTCAATTATGCAGCTGCACACTGAGCAGGCCAAGTGGTTGGCCTCTTAAAAATGTCAACCAAACCATTTACTTCTTCATCTGTTGGATATCTGAACCGACAGTCTTCACAAAAAGCTCACAGTTGTGGGTTTTAATGCCTTATTTCAAACCTGCAGCAAACACTTTATAAATCTGTTGCGATCTCATTGGTCCAGAGGAAACTGACTGTGATGATTAAATATTTTTAATAGCAAGTAATGATGTTTGGATTAAAAATGTCCAAAAAGCGACTCCTGCCTCCAAAGATGTCCGCCCCAATGGCCAATGCCTGCCTGTGCATTTATTCTTTTATTTGTTTCCAAAGATCTTGAAACACGATACAGATTCTAACAAATCTCTCAAAGTTGTAGTAAAACATCTACAAGCTGAAGGCTGCTGCAGCAGATCGACTGCTACAGCTACTAACACTGAGTTAAAACTTAGAGTCAAAGTCACAGAGGCATCACAAACACATTACAGATCACAAACAACTTTGCAAAAAAGATGACTTGCGCAATAATTCTGCACTTTCAATAATGTGGGGTCTCAACATTATTTTAAGTGCAAATCTTTCTYGGCGAGCCTTTCAGTGAAAATCTTTCCCAACACTTAAAACAATTTGATAGATGCTCACACAGATTTCTTTTTGAAGGAGGTCTTTGAGCCAAAAAACAAGCAGGAATGCTCACAAAAGGTTCTTACATCAGTGTAACTTTAATTGATTTAGGAGGTATTTATGTAAGATTTTAGGTTGAACATAGCAGTATTCACAGCAGCTTGTTCAGTTTATCAGTCTTTGTGCTTCAGGTGTTGCTTCTGCTCTTTAGGGTTTATTTTTCCCCCAATCTTTCTTATTAAGTGTTTTAGTTCTTCTGAGTCTGTCTTTTTAATGTTCATAAATGTTTGAAGTCTTGCTTTTTCTAGTTTTAATGCAATATATAACTGATTTGGGATTTGCTGCCCAGACAAAAAGCTATTTTTCTTCTTTTTTATTTTTAGAACAGTTCAAAGATCAATGCCTTAAAGCTGTCCTCCCCAAGGTTATTGTTTAGAAGTTGTGGAATTCTAAAAACACTGATGAGTAAAGAATTATGAACAAATTAAATCAGCAACAAGTCACAAATAACTAAATTATGCAAATCACATATAACTGGATTTATGTCTGTCATTTTCACATATCTTGATCAAAACAAAATCAAACTGAAATATTTCTGTCTAATTACCGAGCAAAAATAAAATTCCTTTGCAGAATATGAACACATTTTTATTAAGTGTTCAATAATATTATTTATTCTCTTAAATCCTTTACGTTCAATAAAGTAAAAAAAAGTCAAATCATTGCTTTTATCATTTGTTAAAATAATATAATCCTCAAAACGTTTGATGAGCACACTGAAGATTTTAAACTCATTTTATTTTTCATCAGTAAGTTGAAAAGTTATTTTTCTGTGTATGAAGTTAATTTATCCCTCTCTCTTCCAGTCTGAGCAGCAGCTGTTAGACTGCTCCAGTTCTTTCAACAACTCTGGCTGCTTGGGGTAATTTGTTTTCTGTTAATCTTCAGACTTTAGATGTCAAACATTTTAAACTATCTGTGTGTTTTCATTCAGGGGTCTTCCCAGCCATTCATTCGAGTACATTAAATATAACAAAGGTCTTATGACAGAGGAGGATTACCCTTACAAAGGCTTTGTATGATCCTTCATCGCCACATTTGTTTTATTGATGAGAGTAAACAGTAAAAAATAATGTTTAAATCACACAAAATATTCTGTCTTCTCTGTTTTAGGTCGGTACCTGCAAATTTGAGTCTCAGCTCACGGCTGTTTTTGTCCAAGATGTCGTTAACATAACTTGTGTAAGTTTATAAAACTACAACAACTAACAAGCTAACAACAGGTTTGTGTCAGTCCCAAAGCCTTCACCTGGAAAGATGTGTGACGCAGACGTTAGCGGTTAGCAACTAGCTATTAGCATTAGCTTCTGTTATTTATTTTTTTGATCAAAGTCTTTTTTATTATTTTTTAACATAATCCACAACAAAAAAACAAACTAACAAAAACACAAACACCCGAAATCCCACCCATCCCACCCCAAACTATACCGGATCCACTGAAACAACAAAAGTCGATCTTGTATTCATACAAGTGATACAATAAACAGGTTTGTGTACAATGAACAATATTTAACCTTTACACAAAGTTATCTGCCGAAATTTTTTCCACAAAAGATAAAAATGGCTGCCAAATGTCAAAAAATGTGTTTACAGATCCCCTAACAGTATATCTGATCTTCTCTAAATGA